AAGGCTTGCTTTTTGGCTGCATATTTTTGGCAGGAACTAAACGGGCATTCCGCATGCTTTCATATTTTGTAGTTCATTGAAATAGGAGCCTATGTTTAGAATTGAACTCGGTATGCATGGGAAGCATAGTTTTGATCTTGTCTCATATGTTTCTAATAACACAGTTAGGTTATTATTTCTCTTAATATAACCTCTCTAGATTGGGGCCCTACAATTTGACTTAATTATAACTTTAATTCCTAAACAATTTGGCATTGCAAATGTTGCTATGTTCAGTAACATGTTATAATTTCAAAGATCGATGAAGTTTATTTGGTTAAGGATGATATGCATACTAAAATTATAAGAAGTCTCGATCTCCATGGATGCGCAGTTTCCAACGTTGATGCATGTTAAGTTTAGATTCTTTTGATACCCTCGTGAGACCTAATAATTCCTCTCAAGTTTCATTATATTCAAAATTCTACAAATGTCATTTAATGATTTTGTACTTGACAAATTAATGTGGAAATCAACCTCTTGATTGGTGGTAGCCTTTAAGGGCCTAAGTGTTACTCCGTACTTTGTGAACACAATAAATGTACTATTTATCATCATGTGAGTGAGCTGCATCCTAAACTGACATGCACCTTGTGGAAGGTGACTTGCTGGATAAGGTGTCATGTCGAGTTGCCGTTTGCTGCTTCAATGAAAATGTGCTCAAAACCAAAGAACTTTCTTTTGCATATTGTGAGAAAATCACATCCACCGAATCTGGTTTTGGAAAAGGAGTATGAATAGACCCCTTATCATCACAGACTACTTGTTTTTTGAGGTGTGACTTCTTGCTAGTTTAGACCAGAAGCCAGGCAGTTATTTGGTAAATCTAGTTTATTTTCAGTGGACCCTAGCAATTTGCATGTTTTAGTAAATCGAGAATGTGAATATCTGAAAAGCTTCGTAGAAACTTTTTTTTTTTTGGCGATTTTTGCTCTTGGTAATTAATGGCTTATTGCTCTAAGCAAGTGCAAAAAATTTAGCTACCAGTGTATGTTTTCTCCATTCTAGGATCTGTGATTTGTTTACAATGTTGCACGTTTGTTAGGGTGGATTAGTTGAATATATCAATGTAAGATTGTGCATGCTATATTGTGGAAATAATTACTTCAATTTTTCTCTTTTTTGTCACTGAAGAAATTTATTGCTAGTAATGTTTTTAACAATTGTCGGACAGCCATACAATCTATGTTTGAACTTGATACTACTTTGGTGTTTTCCCTCGCTTAAAATAGGTTAGGAATCGACTCAGTTGCCCTATTTAGTAGTTATATTTTAAGGCCCAAATGTTAGATACTGCGGCTTGGGTTCTTGTGATAATTGAGTCAAATAATGTGTGTTCGGTGCCTGCCTGTGTGTTCTCAGGTGCTACAATCTAGCCTTCTACGATCGGTTTTTGGGGCTTCTTGCCAAATTAATGTTTTTCCCTTCATATTATATCGGACAGGTCTTTCAGCCTTGGATCCAGGAGAGAAAACTTAAGTATACAAGGCACAAACTTGTGATGTCAGGAATTTTAAAGCATTTAAAACAGCGTGCTTTAGGAAGGCTTTTGACTGATGACAGTTCACTGGATGAAAACGTCGTAAAAAAGTCAGTTCCATGCTTCCATTACACCTGAACTGATAGTCTTTGCCTTTCAATCTATACATCTTTTAATTTGTAATTTTCTAATGTATATGCCATGCCAGGTTGTTCCACACTATTGATGAGAATGGTGATGGTTACCTTTCTGCTTCTGAATTAAAGGCACTGGTCATAGGAATCCGGTTTGAAGAGATAGACTTCGACAAGGATGATGCTGTTTCTAAATTAATGAAAGATTTTGACACATCTTTTGATAATCGTATTGATTTGGGGGAGTTCACTAACGGCATCAAAAAATGGCTTGATGAGGCAATACGTGCAGGAGGTGGCTCTCCTGACCCTGGTCCCCGGACACATAAGTACTTGGATGCCTTTCATGATGTAAGTGGCAGTATTGTGGCTCACCTTAGTGCCATAGTATCATATGATCATTTGATTTTGTAATTCATGCAGAAAACAAAGAAAGCACACGCTCTGTTGAGGTCTCCGGAACCAGAGGAGGGACAGAGTGACGAGGGAGTCAAAAACCCCAGGTGGACGTCCTTCAAAGCATCACTAATGTTGTTGGCTGGAGCTGTTATTGCTGCTGCATTTGCGGATCCTCTTGTGGATGCTGTTGACAATTTCTCTGATGCAACAAGTATTCCTACCTTCTTCATCTCATTTATTGCTCTTCCGTTGGCTACCAACTCTAGTGAAGCTGTGTCAGCAATCATTTTCGCTAGCCGTAAGAAAGTCACCACTGCCTCGTTAACATTTTCTGAGGTGTGTTTCTTACTTACCAGTCCCAGTGTTTCAGCTTCCTGCTCTTTAAAATTGATTGTAATTTACTGTAGGCATTCACAGCTATTTAAAAGGTCACATTTCAATCTAAAATAGAAAAATTTCGAGTACAGTTTTATGGCTTGTCTTCAAGAACACAATTTCTGATAGCCAAAGGAGGCAGCAGCAAAAGCACAGTGCTATTCTGAACCTGTTATTGATTTCTATTTCCAAGCTGAATGCATTTCAATTTGAGATGGTTCCTTGCATTATCTCCTCTAAATGTCAACTCGTTTCTGTTGGCATGTGATGGAGTATCCTGTCTAAAAAAACCCCGTACAGCACTAACCATTTACATGGTAGTGAAAAATGGGATATCCTAAGAAGCACAAGCTCAATGAACCACTTACGGAGATTCATAGTATGGATGTTAGTTGTGCGAAAGGTTGCCATTGAAATGACTTGCCTTAATTACAGGGGATGAAAACAAACAAAGAACTATCCTCTGTTTAATTTCAGAGATAACTCTGTGCCTTGCTTACATTCTTAGGAGTCAACTTGCAGTCTTATGTTAGTATATAATCATGCAATCATGAAAGAAACTGCGGTTTTTTTGAATGCTGACCTTGATGGCTTTTCTTACTGCAGCTATACGGGGCAGTCACTATGAATAATGTCCTTTGCCTATCAGTTTTCTTGGCCCTTGTTTACTTCAGGGAATTGACCTGGGACTTCTCAGCTGAAGTGCTGGTTATTTGTATTGTGTGCATCGTGATGGGCGCCTTTGCCAGCTTCCGCACCACATTTCCCCTCTGGACCTCTTTTCTGGCTTACTTCCTGTATCCATTCTCTCTGGTACTGGTCTATGTTCTTGATTATGTCTTGGGTTGGTCATAGGTTTGTGCAAATTGAAACCAGAGCAAGGCTCGTAGTTTGATCTTGTGGGATGGTTCCTGTTTGATAGAGAACACATGGCTGAGACCAAAGACTTTTATGATAGTGTTTTTTGGCTGTCCAAGCGTGATTCTGAATTTTGTTGGACACATGAGCTGATCCAGAAGACATTGTACTTGTGATTTTCTTGTGACATTTCCTATTTACAGTTGTGCTTTTTCAGACTTCAAAGCTCCTGTCCCTCCTGGAAAACAACCCTTCCTCGCTTTTTTTCCTCATGATTTAAATTCTAGTTGTACTTATTTTTAAAATAATTTTTATATTAAAATATATGATAATAATATTTTTTATATTTTTATATCAATGATTCAAAATATATAAAACATATTTAATTTTAACAAAAATTAAAATTTTTAGAAACATGGTTTACATGTGTTCCCAAACGATGTTTTAATATACCACTACATAACTTTATCTTTTACTATAGTTTTTTTTGTTTATTTTTTCTATTTGTTCTTACATTTTAAAATTTTTATTTTTTTTGGTTATTTTTAGATCATTTTGATATACTAATATTAAATATATATATATATTATTTTAATATTTTTATAAATTAAAAAATATTTTAAAATATAACCATAAATACATTTTCAAAAACAAGCTATAACAGCTGAGCAAGACACAAACGGGACAGGGACTCTAATGGATGAATATTTTGGCGATTTCCTTACTAATCATAAGGGATTGATTAATGCTCCAGCCAAACAGAACACAACTACGAAAAATTCCCAGGAGAGGTTGTCGTCTGAGAGGGAGACATTCAGCATCTCCTGACATCATCATCGAAAACATTATTGCAATAAAAATACTTTTGTGAGAGCATTTTATTAAAGGTAATGAAGAATAAAATGAATTGAATATTTACATAGGGTTAGTATACGTAAATTATGAGTTAGGGATTTTCGGCCTCAAAATTCATATTTCATAGGGGGGCGTGTTTGACTTGTTTAAAATTAAAAAAAATATTTTTTTTATTTAAAAATATTTTTTTCTTATTTTTGAATTGTTTTAAAATGTTGATGTTAAAAATATATTTAAAAAATAAAAAATATTATTATCTTATTATATTTTTAAATACAAAATAATTTGAAATACAGAGAGTCCATCTTTTACCATAAACGATGTTATGAGAAACACCATGGGTATTTTTAGAAGCAGTCCCGCGGCTCTAACCGAAGCTGCCTGTCCGGTTGCCAATGGTGGTGGCTGGATCTCTCCCCCTTTATTTCTTCTACTTGTGTAATTTGTTTTAAGTTCTAGTCTAGCAACTCAAACCATGATAGCATGTTTTCTATGTACAATACTCAATTTTATTTTTGTGTTTTTACATGACTTTTTGCACCAATTGATCCAAAGTTCATGTTTATTTCAACAATTTTTAATGAATACGTTTTAATAATTTTTTAATATTATTTCAACAATCATTCTTAAATCAGTTTATTTCCAAAACTAATATTATAATATATAAAATAATTTTATATTTTTTAAATATATATTTCCAAAACCTAAAGCCAAATTCAGCACTTGGTCATCAAAATACAAATGCAGACCTCCTAACCTCCCCAGTCTCTCTCTTCTCGATCTCTTGCCCTCACATGACCAAGATTTAGGGGTCACTTTCAAACTCTTAGCTACAAAGCCATATTTATACATATCCACTCTTCTTCAAAAGTTATTAATGGGAAAAGGGAGTCAAGGACTGCCGACTACATATAGTCTCATGGAGAGGAACAGCTGGCCTTCCTCAGATAGCACATGAGGTGAGCAAAAGAGAGAAATAAACGAAGAAAAAGCAGGCTACTTTATATAGGTGTTCATAACTTCAAATTCAAATCAATATTTTCTCCTACTTCATCACCAGTGTAACCATTACTAGACTTCGTTGGATGGCCAATTTGCATTATTGCTGGGGGCAGGAAGCAATAGTAGGTCTGCTGTTGATTTGGTACAATTGCCCCTGGCTGCTGGAGAATTTGATCTTCCACGTTACCCTTGAACAAATTCACGAGAGAAAGAGAAAAGTAAGTGGATAATGTTTCTTAATACAAAAAAATAAAAAACAAAACCAGTGAAATGGTTTGCTGTTTAAGTAATCTCACTTGATACGGCAGTGAATCGAAATCAAACGATTCAAAGTTATGGAAGTCCAGATAAGCTGAAGGCTTGAGCTTGAAGTCTATAGATGTCAAAGTTGTAGCAGGAGGAGGGGCTGGAGCAATGAAATCTACATTGCATGCCCCATTTTCTTTGATGATTTTCTTTGAAGTGGGCTCCAAGATACAAGTAGAGCACGAGGAGTCTTCTCTGAAATGGGCACAGGGGTATACAATAAAAACACTTGTAAAGTAGAATATTCAAGGATGCCATGAAGAATAAGAAAAAAATTAACCTGCAATTTCGGCTGCTGAAACTGAAATTATACAAGCCTCCATTGCCAAATGAGGTATTTGTGGGACACTTGTAGCAGTGGAAAGAAGAACCTGGTGGATAGCCTAGCGAAAAGGGATGCGGTCTCTTCTTGCCAACCATCTATACTTAGATGTGAAACAAATTCACAAACAAGAAATGCTTCCCATCATTTTCATTCAATTCAAAACCAATAAAAATTTCCCATCAGGACATTTACAAATTGGTGTGTTCCTTTTTTTCTCCCCCTTTGAATTGTATTAAGCATTATTGTTAAAAAAAAATAAATTAATTGATTATACTAAAACTAAAGAAAAAATATATAATGAGTTAAAGTGTATATTGCATTCATTAACTCACTGATTAATAGATGAGTTAAATCACCTTCTCTTCCTCTATCCAAACAGGTATGTAGTTGTCATAATAACTTTGGTTTGAAGGGGGCTCCATCTGAGGATTTTGCAAGGATGATGATGAACTTCCTGACGAGGCATTTACCTACACAATTTCCACGAAATATATATTGCAAAGCAAGATTATTTAGGATTCACACAAAAAGATCACACTAAATTTAAGAAATAAATTAAGAAACCACACGCGCATTTAGAAGGAACTATATATCTTACCATTGAGCATGAAGAAGAAGAAGAATGTTGTCGATGTTGCTGTGCTCTTTGCATCAAACTAGGAAGAGGCCAAATGGGGTTGGATTCATAAGGTAAATTCAAATTAGGCCGAAAAGCAAGCGCAGGATCAACCCCACAATTTTCCTTTTCAAGATTGTAATAACTAGAATTCCACATCTTAGGCATATTTTTTTGCCCTTGAACAGCAGCTGATTGCCACCCCACCGAATTTGCCGGTGGAATAGTACTGTTTGAGTTGATTAGTTCTATATTCTGGGGCCTAAACATTGAATTTGGAGATGAGAGATCAGGAAGATATGGGATTGAAGTAGAACGAGATTCATAAGAATTTGGAACTGGCATAGAGAGATTGGAAGGCTTAATTTGTGATATAGGAGCTGGAGAAGGCAGATTTACAGAGACATCGTTCTTCTGTTGCTCTTCAAGTCTTATCTTCTCTAGTTGGGCAACACCAAGCCCTCTTTGTGGCACTTTCTTTTGCTTGTGCTTCCTAGAAGATCTACTAATGTGGCCACTTCTAATACCACCATCACCATTACCATTACTACTAGTGTTACATTTCTTGGTTTGTTCTTCTTGAGCCATTGTTATAATTATCTTCCATAAAAGAAAGTTTTCAAGAATTCAAAGGAAACCCTAATAAAAAAAAGAAAGAAGAAGACATCACCCTCACTTTCCATGCTAGTGTCAGTATATATACCATTGTTCCTCTTCTTGGAACTTTCTTTTCATCAACATGCAAGATTTAGACAGCCACACAATAAATCTTGATTTTGCTGCAGCTGCTAGTACTAATAATACCGCACCACTATATGCATTGTTCTTCTTCGGCTAGTCTTGTTATAAAGGAAAGAGTTTCAGAAGAAGTTAAAGAAGCCAGATACAAAGATTTAGACAGAGAAAAAGACAACATGTCCAAATCTTGAGGTGGAAGAAACCATAATATGAAATCAAAATCTGACGATTACAACAGCAAAATCTAGACAACTTTAAGGACCCAGTTTCAAGAAAGAAAGGAAACAAACAGAAAAAGATTACCAAAAATCTCGCAAGGTATGGTGTCAAGATCGGTATGATTGAGAGAGAGAGAGCAAAAACCCTTCAGGCTAGAAAATTAGAGCGAGAGAGAGAGAGAGAGAAACAAAGTAGGGACTTGGAAGTGTAGAGAGAGAGAATCTGAGGAGGTTTCTGATTTTCTCATATCTTATTGTCGGAGAAGCAGATTACTTAAGCAAAAATTAAGTGGTAGAAAAATTCAAACCATGCAAAATCTAAAGTACTATTTAAGAATATCAGATACATTTTTCTCTCGATTTTTTCTTATGCCCAAATTCTCGCTCCACTCTCCTCTTTTCATTCCTACACCTACTCTCAGGATCTCTCTCACTCACTCACTCTCATTTTCTTTCTCTCTCAGTCAGATTTCATTTCTCTCTCTAAATTATGTGCTCAATTTTCTAAAAGGAGCTAAGAGACAAGTGTAAGCAGGCAATGCCACCTTTGCTTGTTTGTTTCATTTTAGGCATCCCAAGCTGGCTTCGCAGCTTTTTGGGCCTGTTGTGAGTCCTTCGGATTGTCCCTTACACACCTGCATGGAATTTACCACTTCGATTTTGGGATTTGGGTCCTTTTATTACTGGATTTTTTTTTTTTATTGAAGGGGTCTTTATGTATATATATATATATATAGACACACACATGTATTAATTTCGTGAAATTTTAATATTAATAACTTTAAATTAATAATTTTTAAATAATAAATTTAAAATTTAATCAATTAAATTATATTTTTAAATTTTTTTTTCATAGAATAGTTTGTTTGAAAAATAATATGCTTGAAATATTACACTTTTATCTACTAACTCCACCATTCCTAGAGTAATATATTTTATTTAAAATATAGAATAACTTCTTACTTATCTTGTAAATGATCTAAGGGTTAAACCTTTTTTCAGAATATCAAAATTTGAAGGTGTAATTAAGAGATATTTATACAAGAAAAATAAAAAATAGCTATCTTTTAATAAATTAGAAGGTTAAACTCGAGACTATATTAAAATATTCTTAAAGGATAAAGTTGTATGATATAACTATATTAGATATATTTTTCTTATTTTAGGATAAAAAATACAATATACATCTTAAATATAAAGAAGGTTATAATATGATATTCAATTTCTCAATCGCATTTAATTAATTTTGCTATATAACGCAAGCATTCTTTGAGCAAGGCATGTGAGCGCCCCAGAAGCTACCGGCATGGCATGGAGGTCTTGGTGATCTATCAAGGGATGACCACATCTTACAGCGGAAATAAAAAATAAATAAAAATAAAAAAGAGGATTTAATTAACAAAACTGGTAAAGAACTTGATATCATAAATTTAACGAAAGAAATTGGCCTGAAAATTGACTGTCAACTAACAGGGGAGCAGTCTTGACTGCCACTCTCCACACAGCCCATGTATAGTTACTCTTAAGCTACGTTGCAGGCCATAACAGAAATTTATTTGAAAACTGAAAACAAATATCTAGATATAGTTAATTTATTTCTTAAAAAATAATTTCAATTATAATTCAAAATCAATGCGTATGAACCAGTATTTTTATTTAATAACAAGATAAAAAATATATTAGATTTACCTACATTAACTTAGGTTGACATGAAAAATACACAAAAAAATATTACTAAAAAATTAAAAAAATTAATCCTCAATTATTGCCAATGAAAATCAACACTCAATTAAAAAAAAAAATAGAACTCAAGTCAATTAACTAAATTTAACATATAGACTATGCCTATCATTGGATTCAATAATTTTTTTAAAAATATTATTTTTTATTTAATTATATAACAATAAAATGCATGAGAATTGCTTTGTATGAAATATGTTTTCAAGGAAAAAAACTAGGAGAGGCACAGGAAACTGAGATAACAAAAGTAGTTTATTTATAACAAATGATAAAATTGTATTTTTTTAGTTTTAAATTAAATAAAAAAAATAGATCAATGATAACAAGGGATAAAATTGTATTTTTATTTTAAATTGAGGGACAAAAAATTCAATAAATAAAAAAATAGTTTGGATATTGTGGTTTAACCCATTAAAACTTATGATCTGAGTCATAGATTCAATCGGATTCAATAAATCTTATTTTTCTTAAATTTATATTAAACCTAAATATAAATAACCAAAAAAGAAGTTCAAGTGTGTAGGCCTATGTCTAAGCCTTTGAAAAAAAAAGCCTAACCATGTAGGACTTTAAGCTCATACCAATAGCCTATGTCTTATTTTTTTTTTTTTTTGAAGAGGAAAATAACTATCACTTACCTTTTTTATTATAAAAATAAAATAAAAAGATATTATACGTAACCTATTATAAAAGATGATGTGTCGTTTACTAATTCAAATTCTAACCACCACTATAATAGCTAAAAAATCAGGGTTATAGGTTTTATTGCTTAAAAAAATTTATTTTAAAGTCATTTAAACCACAAAACACCTTATCAACATCCTTAAAACTTGTAAAAATCAATTCATCAACCATAAAAAATAAAATAAAAATTCAAAATCAAATCAGGTTAGATTTATCTTCCCGGATTTTGATCTCTTTGTAGGTTACATTGAAACTTTAAACAATCACTATCAAATTCATCTCATTGCATGGAACTCATAGACATAATGAACAACTATTATGGTGATAAAAAGTGGCATGAATAATGAATTTATCTCTCATCATCAGAATCTGACGATCTCTCTCTCTCTCTCTCTCTCTCTCCCCCTCCCATTTCTATCATACTAGAGACTAAAAAATAAAAATGAGTTTTTGTACCAAAATTGAATTGCAAAAATTCAAGGAACCATATGAGTACAAATTAAAAAGTTAAAGGATTAAATTGAACTTTTCTTACTAACTTTGAACCCATCCATTTTTGGTGTCTTTTTCATATCGGTCATATTTCTTTTAATTTTTCCCATGGCTAACAAAAAGGAAGCATTTAGCCATCGATTTTTCAATTGAAGGACTTAGTTGATGAAAAAAAAATTTGGGATAAAAAAAAAGCACTACTCCAATCCACAATGAATTATAAAAGAGTACACAATGCCTATGTATATAGCATGAAAACTTCACATCTTAGTTTTCTTTATAATTAGTAGGTGATTTCCAATTAATAGTTAATCTGACAATTACTTCTTCTTTTTTATAGGATCCAACCATTATTTTTATTTTTTTGTTATTTCTACAAAACCTATATCATTTAATTATTCAAATTACCCTTTGAAATTTATTTTTCATTCATGGCCTATCTATACAAAAATTTGCAACAACAAATTTTACAAACAACTAAAGGAACTAAATAGTGAAGGTTCACTACCCTCACACTTTTTTTTTTATTTTCTTTTTTTTTTTTATATTTCACCCTCATATTTTTTTTTAATTTTCTCCTTTTCCCATAGCTTTTTTTTATATATTTCACCATCATATTTTTTTTTTAATTTTCTCCTTTTCCCATAGAAATTTATGAGAATTTTTTTAAAATATAGTAGAATGATAATTTTTTTTTTAAAAAAAAAGAGCCACAATGTAAGAGACAAAGAAAATATGTGATTAATCTCAATGTTTTTGAATTTTTTATTTTGGTGTAAATGTTTATCTTGTTTATTTTTCAATATATGAGAGATAAAAAAGACTAACAAAAAAGAAAAAGAAAAAATTATTGGCTAGTGGCTATAAAAAAAGATGATATTTGTATTGATGGATTTCCTTTCTTGAGAGGAGTTTAATAAAGGTAGTCATTTCCTCTAAATATGATAGGAAAAGAATATTGAGTTTCATTTGATATGTTTTGATTCGGTTAATTTTTATATTTTAAAAAAAGTTATGGTATTTTGGAGTTGTTAAATGATTTTTTAAGGTTTATATAATGTTTTCCTGTAAAAACAAGCTAAAAGTTAGGCTTTTAGATTCCAACAATATCAACCCTGATTTTTCCATCAGAGATGACTAGAAAAACAATTGTTTTAATATTTGAATTTAATTATATAATTATTTGTATAAAATTATGTAGATGCGTAAATCGAAAACCAGAGCTGGTCGCTCACGTAAAGTCGTAGCTAGCTCGTCTAGCAGCGATGAAGATATCTCCTTAGGTGCCTCTGAAGAAGAGGCACCTATACCACCTGCACCGTCTACCGATGTTACCTCTTCCAGCGTTACTTCACAGTGTAGAGGCGGCATGCCTTCGCAACGGAATCAATTTACCCGCAAGTACGAGGCACAGTGGAAGGATGACCTTTCAATGTAAGTTTGTTAAGGTTTTAGTTTTTTCTTTTTTATATTACAACATAATTTATTTCACTTATTTTCAGGTTCACAAACATTGAAGCCGCCCGAGTAATATCATCGACGTTTAAATCGTCGATGGAGATTTCATTGTTTCAGTGGAGTCAGATATCAAAGCATCCTAAATGGATGCCTCAAATCAATGCATGTTTTAACAGGTTTGAAGTTGGTATTAATTTATAATTTTTAGCTTATTAATTTAATTGTAAATAAATTATTATTTTTATCTAAACTTGTTCATTTATACACAGTACAAATTCT